GCATTTGTACGAAAAGGGTGTGAATACATAATTAAAAAAATAACATTTTACTTAATTGACGTTACAATAACCTAAAATACGATGTGGGGGAGGGTGGGGATATGTATTTGGCTTGTAGAATAAGTCCAGGGAACAATTACCCACCGCCTTTTACATGAATCTTCTTTTGGACAAACCTCCCACATCAGTTATTTTTTCTTTGTCATTGTCAGGATGTCGAACCTGTTTTCTACTTTTGTTTTTTATTGGGATTTTATTTTTTTTTTTGGGGTCTTTTTTTGCTCTCGCTTTTCGGGTAGTTTTTTGTTTGTTTTAATCTGTGTAGTTTAATCATATCCCGTCTACACCAATTTCCTTAACACTCAATTTAAAACATCAAACATGATTCTAACTAAACAGTACTTACCCTATATGATGAATTATCCGGCATCTTTATTTGCTAGTCTCTTGCTTCCTTGCTTGATGTGAACGGTGTGATTAACTTGGCCCACAATGAAATGAGGTCCCGCTTGGCTCTAATTTATCTAAACAGCAGCGGGTATTCCCGCTCAAATGATGTTGCGTCACATTCTAGGACTTTCTAATCCAAAAAACCCTGACACGTCATCAGAATAAACGTGTACAACTATGAATATTTCCAGGAAAACCAAAAATAGCCATCTCTCGTCGCGCATGTGACGCTGGCATGGCGTGATATTAAAGCGAACATCCCACCGACCGTTAGTTGCCTTGTTTGTAAACACTGTCTCTTTTAAATCTTGAACTTTAATACCAAAAATGTTTGATAAAATCTAATGATATCAACGCTAGCGTTCGATATTACTTGTACTCAGCATTCGGTGTCTTCTTAAAAGTGATACTAGTAATAATGGTCCAATGACCTACATAAATGATGACGTGTGACGTATTCTTCATCGCTTGATTGTCAGATCAAAAGGTCTGTCATTAAATCAAGTGATGTGGCGTCGATTCCCTGTTTGTACATGACAATGAGTAGGGACGCCTGCCTAACTATGGGGGTTGAAAATAATAATGAAAAATGCACAATATGTTAGTCCAAGTGGAGGTTAAACCCCATTACCACTACCCCCTCCTCCCCCCTTTCTCTACAGAAAGTTGGACTCGACACGGCGAATGTGCATCTTTTGGTTTAGTACAAATAATATCTCTGAAACAATTTCGTTAGGCAAGAACATGTTATTAACAGTAGTTTCATTTTACTTTTACGGGGTTCTTAAAACAATTGTTGAGTTGCCTAACGTGCGTGTTTATAAAATCATTTTCTTGTTCCAGTTTTCTGTTATGTTTCGTAAAAAAGTAGTATTGGTTATCCCGGCCTGCCAATCAGACGAAGAATGGTCGGTAGACTGGTTAAGCGAGACTAATTTAAAAACAAGGGCACGTAACCGATTTTTTACTCACAATGGCTCGGATGTTATGGCCGACACTCGTAACCATCTTTCGGTGCATTATTTATAGATTGTTACATGGTCATAGCTTATTAAGTATAACATGATCGTTTATTTAGTGACTATAATTGTGTGAAACTGATTTTAGGCTTGGTATATATATATATATAAATATTGTGATATAATTATTGTCGAGATATTTGGAGATATTTATTTATGGTTGGTCACCCTACCATTCCAGTTGCTCATTTTACTTTGACGGGGACTGTTGCTTTAATGGACGTTTTCATTCTGCTGAATACATTTAAGCCGTCACGACCTGCCCTCATTCAATGAAAACACTTCTGAGAAATATTGTCTGTGGAAAAATACAGATTTAAATTCAGCACAGGAAAACCCGCCTGGTAGTTGGCCTTCACAGAAATGGATTTGCCCGATGATAAATCACATGTCTAGACTGGTAGTTGTATATAACTTTAACAAGAGGCTATCAATTTCTTGTATCAATGTATATCAAATTATTATATCAACCTTTTTGTTTCATGATGATATCAAACCTTGTTGTTGACAGGATAGGGATGCTCTGGTATTTTCTTCATTGTTCATAGTAACCTCTATCGGTTTTTATTGTTATTTTTTAAAAGCCATTTGATCACTTTTGGTTTACTTCTCATGGCAAACGACCTATTTCTGAATTTGACTTATACCGACCTTGGACTATAGGGTTAACCAGCTCAAATATTACGATTGCACAACGATCAGAGATGAATCACGTGTATAGACTTACTTATTCAAATCTTGAAGTGGGCAAAGAACAAACTCGGGATTTGTTAATCTGTCTTATCGCTTTGATGGTACCTAAAAATTAAAGTTTATCCACGTATACTCATGGGCGCAGATCCTGGTGGGGACACCGGGACGCGTCCACACCAATATTTTTAGTGGTGGGGACATGATATACTGTGTTCCCACCACTTATTTTCGATGTTTTGCTTACTGTTTATTTTTTGAAACTGAAATCATTCCAGAGCTTTTAAGCAGTGGAAACATTAGCCGAATCGATCGGCCGAATCGTTCGGCCGAATCAATCGGTGCCGAATTTTATTCGGCCGAATGGGTGGACACACTAGCTGAATGCTTCGCTCGGTTCAACCTGTCGATTGCATCACCTTTCACGTCACATGATTAAACATGGCGGCGTCTATGTCTTCAATCTACCACTTGACTTCTCGATATGAGTGGTGATTGGCTAATGAATTCTATATTCGGCCGAATGCTTCGGCGAAGCGGACACACCAGGCGAATATAATTCGGCCGAATATATCAAACCTGTTTGATTCGGGCGAATCATTCGGCCGAATGACAGTGGACACACTAGGCGAATTTCGACGCCGATTGATTCGGCCGAACGATTCGACCGAATCTTTCGGTTAGTGTGTCCACCACATTATTGACAGTTCAGAAAGTGTAGAGTTGGTCCCAGGCACTTGAGGCCAGGGTCCTTGAAGTTGTACAGCTGCACCCGGTAACCGAGTTTTATTTAACAGGGAATAAGTGATAATTCATATTATAACAGTAAATAATTAAAATATTCAATAGGGAATATAATAATATGTATATCATGTAGGTGTGCATATCTGATACGCTGGGTATTAAAGGGTTGAGGAATAACTGAGATTTTGTTTTTATCTGGTATATTGGATGATAAATCATGCAAATTATAAAATTCCAAACACGCAATTTCTAACATAACATCACCACTATCACATTCAAAATAGATAATATAATACAACTGGTACCATGTGAATCATTAAAATAGCTATGGGAACAATATAAACACTTAGATTTAACTTTAAAAAAAGCAAAAAGTTATTATTTCAATGTGGTCACCATTTTTGAATATTAACGTAGGAAAATTCACCTTTGCAATCGGATTTTTAATCACCAATGAATAATACAGTAAAATGTTACATTTATTTGACTTGGGATTGAATATATTGATATGTTTAGCTGTGTGTGTGGCTTGTTTTAGTTTATATAAATTAAAAGATTTGTAGGCCTGTACATTTGTGTATCCAACTGAATACACATTTTGCTCAAAGACTTTACGTAGTCTTCGAACACGACAGTAGTGTAAATATTTCTAGTTCTTGTAGTGCACATGAGAGAATAAATCGTGAACGGTGGCTTGAAGATTTGTCTTTAGATTAGATTTCGTATCATTTGCTGCCTCAGGGAATAGAATTGTTTGCCAGAAAATGATGCTGAAAATACCCACAGAGTGCGTTTCAGAGCGTCTAGTTTTCAAAAAATTTCGTGGGAGGACCCCCCCCCCCTCTTTACCAATAGTCGCCCGCGCATGGACTGTCCCCACCACTAATTTTTATCTTAGTTTAATGCAGAATAGGCAAATACTCTTACCCACCATGAGACAAAGCACAAATGCGACCCCATTTTCCGTCTTCATTAGCCCGGGTTAGGAGCAGAACAGTAGGACGTTAAACTCCATTTCATTTCATTTCGGCCCCATTTTACATATTGAAGACACCAACCGACTTAGCCCCATCACCATCCTCATCCACTTTAAATATGTGATAATTCCGAAATGACCTAGTTTGTGTAGAGTGGACGGTAAGCCCCGCATCTCAACTGAGACATTTAGTTTATTTTAAACCATGTTTTTAAAATATACTATGGTCAGTTGTGAGTACTAAATTCAATTTTAGGGAAATTAACAAAGGATTGCATTCAATTTTGGTCCCTTTCAATCAATATTGATGTTGTTATGTTACAATGAAAATATGGGATCCTAATATCCAATATTTAAGACACAATCAGTACACTAGTCGGGTACTATATGGACATAATGGTTTCCGGCGCAATTTGTAATAAACAAAGATAGACATATCCCAGAAGACAATGCGGAAGTAATTAAAAATAGCTGACTCAAAAACGACAAAATAATAATTTAAAGAAAAGCAACGTAGAATGGACTAACCATTTCATCTATTTTAAGGTTCCCCAAAGAATAGTTATTCGCCCTTTACATACAAACAGTTGTATAGACATACATCTCTTGAATTTGGTCACTACGTTTCAAAACACCACTATAGGAAAAGTTATCACCTAAATCGGATTCGTAACATTTGATGGCTTAAAGATAAATTATGCATATTTCTTTTTAAGAGATTAAGATAACCCGAGTCTCTATTCAGTAACAAGGGATTTTACAACATTAAAGCGTTGTGTTAAACACGACATGTGGAACACCGTTTGCGTTATGGGTCATGAACGTATCCATATGACAGCAGCTGGTGTAAGATCGTACATAGCTCTTCTCGGCCGACGCCAGGGTTAGCGAACCAGCGCATTACTCATGGGGTTATTGTGGTTTCAAGTAACATTAGGGCTGTGTCTGCACATTTAGGCATTGTTTTGTAGATTTAAACACACTTTTATCAACGGGTACCCGGCGAATTCTGACCTCAACAGATTTCAATTAGAGAACAACAATCATTGCTCATGATAATATTGATAAGGTGGGGTGCGGTTGGGGGATATTAACAATAAACAAATAAATTTACAAGAAAGAATCTTTCAGACAATAAACTTTAATTTAAGAAAAACTGCAAAATTCTTTAGCAATAAAATCTTAAATACAAACTACAAAGAAATAAAATAATTCTAAGGGTCGGACCAGCGTATAAAGAGGAATAAAATAATATTTACTTGATAAGAATGAATATCCACATATGAATTCTTAATGTATATGTATTATTTGTTAAGTACAATAATCCCAGTCTCTACTCGGTAACAACAGTTTTTACAACATTAAACGTTTTTTCAAACACGTGTGGAACGCCGTTTGCGTTATGGGTCATAACCGTATCCATGACAGCAGTTGGTGTAACATCGTACATAGCTCTGAGTGGAGCCAAGGCCGTGTGAGCAAGGGAAGGATTAACCTCAGCATAGCATGACACTAATACACCATTTACAATCAGTCGACCTTGTTTGGTGAAAGGCGCAAAAACGCCCTTTCCTTCAATGACTTCAATGTCGACCACTTTTTCACTTCCGGCGACATCTTTGTATAGCAGTTCGTCATAAACGATTAACTCATCTCCAACCTACAACAGAACAACAACATAAATATCTAAAAGAAATGTGAATTTCCACTATAAGTATAACTCGAAATAACTCGAGTCCTCCCCTCCCACAGTTAGAGGTTTTAAATGAATGAACAATGCACCTTTTCAATAATTATCATGTAATTCACATTGTGACTTACCTGTACGTCTTTCGCCATTAAATCTAATGTTTTGTTGTTCCGATTCACTACCAAAAAATGTCGAGGGCTAATATTTAGCCGTCTGTTCTCTGTCTCGATCTGGATAAAGTTGGTTTCTGTAGCTGGATTGTGGTGAGCCAAGGTCCAAACTTCTGAATAACCAAAACTTCCATTGTCCAACACCACCTTGGCCAAATCACCCACTTTCACGTCTTCTATGTAAGTTCTTCCCGATTCTAAGGTGACAATACTATTTCCGTAACCAGGAAAGCACGGATAATCGTCAGAAGATCTCTAAATTTATAACAAATTATTATCTTAGGCTGGTTCTGGTATTATGAGTAAAGGCACAAAATAAAAAAGTCTAAGCCAAATAAACAAGAAGTGATATCAAGTGCTTGTAATACATCTAAATTAATAGTTAGATCCATCCTGTATACATAATTCAGTTCTGCATGAATCACTACCAATCTATGGTAATTTGTGACTGTTAAGTCCTTCCAAGAAGATCTAGTCTTAATTTGACCTGTTTAACGTTCACTCGACGCATACTAGGTCATTTCGGGACTGACATATGATTCAATTTTATTTCAATACTTCGCATGCGCGTAAGTGTCTTAAGCTGCAGGAGAAACTGGCGGACCCGGGGGAAACCCACGATGTTAGACCGACAGTCGTGAATCTAAACCACGCCACTTGACTCAATAACAGACCTTATGATCTACGTGCACGCATTAAACCATTCACTCCCTACCGCTACGTTCTTGTGTACCAATTATCGATCAAGGTTTGATTTTTAATCAATATCGTCCCGCAAGGTTTTCGCATCTTGGATTTAACAATTACCTACACCAATAACATAGAACCACATGCAAAAATGATTCTAAATAAATAATACTTACATCTTCCCGGTGAGGCATCGTTATGAGCTATCGTAAAATCAAATCCAAGAACAGGATTAATTCTCTGTTTGAAGGTTTGACGCAAATGGAGTCAGGCCTGGTATTGGTCTACAGTAGATTTTTCTGGTAATATCTGGCTCAGTCTGGATAATTGATATGCCCGGAATATGAATACTTTCTAAAACGTCATCGAAATACAGGTTTCGTGGAAAGCTAACTAAACAGATTTCGTGTCACTTTTTATTGTGAGATATTAAAGCAAACGTCTCTCCAAATAACTGTCTTTAGTGAGCACTTTATAAACAAACTTCTTTCTGAGAACTGAAACTTGTCTCGAAGCGCTACTTATCTTGATGTTCTTCTAGTACGATCGGCATTAAATTTGGCATGTTTGTTCCTTCGAAAATTGTGCATTGATCTGTTTAAGAGTTACCTTCAACTACCATCTTTCAATATGAACCCAAGGACCTCTTTTACCTCCACGATCAGCATCTATTCAATGAGTTATTTTCACCCGGTCCAATAGTATTATTGCAGAAGGGGATAATAATAACGAAATAAATTGGCATATAAAAAGTTAAACGGCGATCTATTTTTACCGTTCGGTATATTTATGACCTCCATCCTGGGGATATAAAGGTCAACACGGGTCTTTTGTTATAGAGTCAGTTTGCAAAACCCTAACTCTAATCCTAACCCTAACCCTAACGAAACAGGGACATTCCAGATAACTCCACAAACATACCGTACGATACGCATATTCTGGAAAGTGGGACTTTATGACCATATCATGGAGGTCATTAATTTACCTCCTTATCATACTCATCGCAGTGTTTCGTTTGATCATACCTAATCCCACTAAACACTGCTTTAACGAAAACAAATTTATGTTCCAAATTATGACTGGTCAATGGTCTGATTAACAACCAATAGCTTACTGCGTTACAAAAGCATAACGCTTAAAACAGGGCTCAAAAGCTCATGTATCAGAAGCCAATCCAGCAATGGCCAGAGAGAGATTTATTGGACCATTGCTTCGGGAATATACCTCCTTATAGGCAGATTTATTTCGTTATGATTATCCCTTTCTATACAGTAATAATATTGCAACAGGTGGCTCCTAATATTATCTTCCAAATATCCTCTATGTACATAGCTATAATAAATTGTGCACGAGTCAGGATATGTTTGTAGAACACCTAATATCATTTCTCAGAAGACTAATGTATTTGTGCGGTGCTTTTGTGTATATTTGATGTCCAATTCTAAGGTTTTCGCAGATTAAATATCAGGTTTTAGAGGGTTTGATTTAACAGGGAGTGTTGCTTTAATCAGCGTATTTATATCATTGCGTAGGCTAAGGACATATTGATTGGACTGTGTTTTAAACCAGAAACGACCTTGACTCGTTCATTTAAATTACATTGCTTTCTGGGAAAGACATACTCGTGGAAAAATACAGATTTGAATTTTGGAATAACCGTTTGGTTGTGCACACGACCGAGTTACATAGAACATGTCTAAGCTAGCGCTAACAATGATATTATGAGGCATATATTTCATGGTGAAGCCTTTATTTGTCGACGTTCAGGTGGAAGGGATCAGTTTTCACATTAAAGATATATTCTGTCGAGGTTCTGGCTATATAATCATCGCTTACAGGATTTGTCATACAATACACTTTATGAATATTTGTTTGTGAATACCTCCTCTATTGCAAATCCAAATTTTTTACCATCACTATTACGAGAAACAGGTTGGAAGTCCTTAACCACCTGTCCAACCTCGTGGGTCTCCGGGTCCTCCGGTTTCCTCCCACTGCTAAAGACCCCTACGCGCAAGCGAATTATTGAAATAAAATTAAACCATATGTTGGTCCCGAAATGACCTAGTTTGTGTTAAGTGGACGTTACCCCCCCCCCTCTCTCTCTCTCTATCTCTCTCTCTCTCCCTTAACCACTTGTCCTCGTCATAATGATGTTTTCAATGTTTGTGATAATTTCGTCCAGTCTTTGATTTGGTTCGCTTTGGATTACACGCAAGATCCATTTTCGATTAGAAATAATTTAAATTCTCTGAGATTGCAATGTATGACCTAATTACAGGTGGAGGTGCGCTCTTGTTGTTCGGATTAGGCAAAAAACCCGATGTCTACCCTTGTACAAATTATAAAATAACCATAGAAAGTAGGGATTTTATGCAGGATAAGGCGATATGACGCTGCCAGGTCAAAATATACACATATAAGTGAATAGGATGCAGTAACAAACAAAACTGCTTATGGAAACAGTTGCATATAAGCAGTTTTGCTTGTTACTGCATCCTATTCACTTATATTCTCTTAAATGATAAATTGTAAAAACTAATCTTCTTCTGAATAAAATACTGTTTAAACCAAAATATACACACACCAACATAACTGTATGTTTGTCTTTAAAAAATCAAGGTATCCTCCTTTTAAAACCCTCTCTTATTTCTTTTTTAAATAAAATCATATGCCACACCGATAATTCAGTGGGTCATTTTACCCAAGTGTAGTTGTTCAAATGGGGCTATAGTGGCTCAGTGAGTGTGGCGCTGGCTCACAAACCAGTGGGTACAGCGTTCTATCACTGACCGAGAGAGTTCATCAAAATTTGACATATCTTTCAGATGGGATAAAAAAAAAAAAAGAGGTTGGCAGAACGTTAGAGTTCACCAGGTGGATGTAAATCGAAATAATACTAGGCCTTGACGCCGGCGCCCCAGCAAAATGCCCTCATTTCATGTCGTGTGACTGTCTTCTTAGCCTTGTTGGTGCGGAAAAGACGACTTTAAACCCCAAGCAATCACCAACATCCCCTCTGAACAAATGAAACAGCAAGCCTTCATGTGGGCTCCAAAGTGGCATTTTCTCTTTCTGTTTATAAAAATAAGTGTTGAAATCAACTGAGAAATTTGTTTGGAATAAATGTATATATTATTTAGACATATTATTTGAAAAATATAAATCTAAAGTTTGTCATAATTCTCAGATAACTTAAACATCTTATTTGGTGGTAAAGAAATAGCATCAAAAACAAAATATCAATTTTGATTTCATATTTATTTTTAAAGCAAATAAAAAAATCACGAAATTAGGTTGCAAATCAAGTTACGATATAAAACGGGAAAGTACATAAGAATGGTATATGGGTGTTAATGTTCTACAAATAAAATAAATAAAATACTACAAAGTTTTAAATCATCAGCAATTAAGACTGTTTACATTCATTGAAAACCAAAAATATAAATACGATTGAACATAATCAATTCATAAACGAACATAATAGTTCGACATTCAACAAGTCACGATAATTCTCTTTTAAGTCATTGGGACATAAATTATAGTTGTTTGCGCTATGAGGTTGGTCCTATGCAGTGTTAATTAACAGAAAAAGATTTCTAATTGAACATTTTGAATACTACATTAAGTAAATAGTACATTTATATGTAAAGTGTTTAATCTTTTAAAAGGTTTGGATATGGCTGATACTTACAATACCACATGAACCTTATTCCAATCCCCGATTGACCGCACCACCACCCCACCCCCACCCCTGCCCATCCCCAAACCAATGACAATGTTACCCAAAAATATATATCATTTTTTTCATATTACTGTTATTGAATATCTAGTGTTATAGAATTTACACAGATTTTATATTATATAATTAAGCATCGAATTTAAAACTAAACCTATATAAAAGCTAATTACATGGTTATATTTAATAAATGTAGTATTAATTCGTAACCAACCAAATATGTAGAATAAATATGCAATTCTGATCAAGACAGTTTAGTGCTCAGCAACAACAGGTTCTAGTACACTGAATGCTGCATCGAGCACGTGTGGAATTCCACCCTCATTAGGGGTCATGATGGTATCCATGACCACTTTTGGGGCCACGCTATACATAGCCCTAAATGGTGCCAAAGCGTTATGGGCAAGGCTTGGTTTGACCTCTGCGTAGCAACTTGCCAAGATGCCGTTAACCAAAAGTGTCCCTTCTTTGGTAAAGGGATTATATATTCCCTTGCCTTGTATCGTTTCGATGCTCACCACTGGTTCTTTGGTAATAGTTCCATCGCTATTAGCATCAACATCAACGTCACAGACAACCAGATAATCGCCAATCTGTAACAAATATATATAACAGGGCAATGTCAACATATACCGAAAATCTTTTCTACAGACCTTCCAGATAAACCAGATAAACTCGTTTCGGGAATCATTAAGAATTAAATTCATTTTGCATTATATTTCGATGAGACTATGGGCTTCTTTTTAATGTTTTAAAAATTTAAAAAAGAAGTCTTCCTTAAAATTTTAAAAGTTTACGGAAATTCTTTTTAATGTTCTTAAAGTTTAAAAAAAAAGTCATTTTGATAGCCAAATTCTACTGACCTTTATCTTGTTGGCCATAACCATGTCCAGTTCCAAATCATCTTTCATCACGGCTATGAAATGTCGTGGGCTTATGTGTATTTCTCTCGTGGGTGTTCGTATTTCCACGAATTCTGTTTCTTTGTCAGCATCTGCGTGGGCCATACACCAAACCTCCGAGTACCCTATCTTTCCGTTCCCGAAGATAACTAACACTTCATCTCCCACTTTTAGACTCTCGATATAAACTCGACCCCGCCTTTTCTGGACATAACTATTGCTGTTTCCAGCGAAACAAAAGCCACCTCTGTCGCCCTGGAAACATATTAAATTCTATTCATAATCCAGTTTGATTAGAGAACCTCGAATTGAAGCATAGCGTGAGTTTTGCAAGACATAAAGGTGTTCATTTAATATATATAGTTTAGTGTTTTATTTACTTACATCACGTATTGAGAAACTGTTGATTCTGTGTTCCACTAACGACATATTAATCTAAAAACTCCGTACACGCCAGATGAATCAAAACGAATCAAGATGTTACTGAATTCTTAAAATTGATTACAAAATTTGATTTCAGACAATAAATTTTGAACTAATTAAAATTTGATCAACTTACATAAGAATTATCAGGCATCTTCGTTATAACTTGTGAATAACAGGTATCTTTCTTTCTTATTGTCTAGCTGCCCAAATGATTCTCGCTCAATTTGTCGAACAGGTATCTTTCTTTCTTCTTGTCTTGCGGCCGAAATGATTCTCGCTCAATTTGTCCCTAAATTTATAGGGACTAGTTGAAAAACCCGTTTATCTGAAGAAGGTTCTTTTCACACATCGGGTTTCCCGGAAATCTAAAGATAGCATAGTTCGTCAACACTTTACCTAGTATTTATTTTTAAAAAATAGTTCCTCAACAATACACCTTTTGTTATACGGTATTTTGTCGAAAATAATCTATTGCATTATATAATTTGTACGGGTGGTCGTGGAAATTTCCACTTAACCAATTGTTAATCCCTTTTTCAGAACCTTGCATTATAACGGCATGCATTATGGCCATAATTATGTCACACCCCTTCTAGGAACCAACCATTTGTAATCTACTGCGTATGAATTATGACTATTAAAATACAATAACAACGTGTTTAAATGGTGTTATAGGTCAAACAACCTGTTGTATAATTAATATACAGGGGTGGTCGTTGAAATGGCACTTAACCAATTGACATACCCTTTTTCAGACGTCTTCTGAGAACGCACCATTATAAAGGCTTGCATTTTAATTATGGCCATTCTAGGAACCGACCATTTGTAATCTCTGGCATTTCAATTATAACCTTTAAGATATATTCCACACTTCTTCTAAAAACAATGTAGTTATGATCATTAATGTATATTTGTGAAAAGTACAATGACAAACATGTTTAAATGGGTTCTTGATTATAATATGTAATCGAAATTATCATAGAAATCAACAAGTCATGCAATATAACAACAAGCACAATGACAAAGATTATGTTCAACGTCAATATGGGGATGTGGCAATTAAGTGTGTTCGTCAGATTAGTATACTTGAAGATAAATATATAAGAGTGTGTAATATTTCATATTTATTGACCTCAAGTTTATTAAATGTCATTGTGCTTGATAACGATAAGAGGACACTTGTCGGAACGTCCTGCTTTTAGAATAAAACTAGTGGTCGTATCCCATAAAACTGTGTTCTGTTAATGTGTTTCCCGATTGCTAAATGCCACTAAAGGATTATGACTTTAATATTATGCATAAGTTTTGGGGGTTATTTTTACTAACATACCCCAAGCTGCACCAACCTCATTCTGTATAACTGAAATATTTTATGGTTAATTGTAATAGCGTCGCGATTATGTCGCCTAAATTTCATTGAGAAAAACATAATGATCTCCTCCTAAAACTAGTTCGGTCGAGTTTTGGTAAATTTAATCTTAGTTTAATCTCTTTTATAACCATTATTTGTTTAAAACTTTGCGGCTGACTGGTAACCATATCATTGATGTTTCAGCTCTGAGATTGTACCTAACAAAGAGTAGGTAGGGTTGTCTGTCTCACTTTATGAGGCTTCTCAAGAAATCTGCCCAATCTACTGAGAAAGGTGAAAGAAATCGGACCCATCTACCGAGAAAGGTGCAAGACATGGGATGAGGTGTTATGTATGCCTTTGTCAGCACGTTAAAGGTCCATTGCGGATGTAAATCTAAATAATAGTAGGCCTGCGTTAGCGTTATCGGTTCAGAAACGACGACTTTAAACCCCAAGGAATCAGCAGCATTCCCTCTAAACAAATGAAACAGCAAGCGTTCACGTGGGCTCCAAAGTGGCATTTTCTCATTCTGTTTATAAAAAATAAGTGTTGAAATCAATTGAGAAATTTGTTTGGAATAAATGTATATATTCTTTAGAAATTTTATTTGAAAAATATAAATCTAAAGTTTGTCATAATTCTCGGATAATTTAAACATCTTATTTGGTCGTAAAGAAATATCATCAAAATCAAAACATCAATTTTATTTTTATTTTTAAAGCAAATAAAAAATCACGGAATTAAGTTAGAAATCAAGGGATATAAAACTGAAAAGTACATAGGAATGGTATATGGGTATTAATGTTCTACAAATAAAATAAATAAAATACTACAAGGTTTTTAAATCATCATAAATTAGACTGTTTACATTCATTGGAAACCATAAATTGAAATACGACTGAACATTAATACTTGACATTTTATAATCAATTCATAAACAAACATAACAGTTCTTAATTCAAGAAACTATCTTAGACATGTAACCTATAATAATATGTTTACTGGTTTAGCCGAGAGGAGAGACACAAAAAGAAAGGCTGATTACTGATATTCGACATTCAACAAGTCACGATAATTCTCTTTTAAGTCATTAGGACATAGATTTTAGATGTATGCGCTATGAGGTTGGTCCCATGTAGTGTTAATTAACAGAAAAGGATTTATAATTCAACATTTTGAATACTACATTAAGTAAATAGTACATTTATATGTAAAGTGTTTAATCTTTTAAAAGGTTTGGATATGGCTGATACTTACAATACCACATGAACCTTATGCCAATCCCCGATACACCCCAGCCCTCCAACCCCAAACACCACAACCTATGACTGTAATTTTTATCACATTTATTTATTTGTTATTGTAATTTTTAAAATAAATTGCATGTATAGTCTTATATAATTTACACAGATTTTATATTACATAATTAAGCATCAAATTTAAAACTAAACCTATATAAAAGCTAATTACATGGTTATATTTAATAAAAATAGTATTAATTCTTAAGCATCAAAATGTCTAGGATAAACATGCAATTCTAATCAAGACAGTTTAATGCTCAGCAACAACCGGTTCTAATACATTGAATGCCGCATCGAGCACGTGTGGAATTCCACTCTCATTAGGGGTCATGATGGCATCCATGACCACTTTTGGGGTCACGCTATACATAGCCCTAAATGGTGCCAAAGCATTATGGGCAAGGCTTGGTTTGACCTCTGCGTAGCAACTTGCCAAGATGCCGTTAACCAAAAGTGTCCCTTCTTTGGTAAAGGGATTATATATTCCCTTGCCTTGTATCGTTTCGATGCTCACCACTGGTTCTTTGGTAATAGTTCCTTCGCTATCAGCATCAACATCAACGTCACATGAAACCAGATAATCACCAATCTGTAACAAATATATATAATATGGTAATGTCAACATATACGAAAAGTCAGGGCTAAAACAACGGCACAGTTTTGATCATATTTCGGATTATTGTATTTCTTTTCTACAGACCTTCCAGACATACCAGATGAAACAATATAGACTCGTTTCGGGAATCATTAAGAATTAAATTCATTTCACATTCACTTTCGACGAGACTATGGGTTCCTTTTTAATGTACGAAAGTTTACGAAAGCCCTTGTTTTGAATTCTAAATTTTAAAAAAGTCTTCCTTAACGTTTTAAAAGTTTACGAAAATTCTTTTTAATGTTCTTAAAGTTTAAAAAAAAAGTCATTTTGATAGCCAAATTCTACTGACCTTTATCTTGTTGGCCATAACCATGTCCAGTTCCAAATCATCTTTCATCACGGCTATGAAATGTCGTGGGCTTATGTGTATTTCACGTGTTGCTGTTCGCAATTCGACGAATTGCGTTTCTTTGTCACCATCTTCGTGAGCCATACACCACACCTCCGAGTATCCCAATTGTCCGTCTCCGAAGATAACTAGCACTTCATCTCCCACTTTTAGACTCTCGATATAAACTCGACCCCGCCTTTTCTGGACATAACTATTGCTGTTTCCAGCGAAACAACAGCCACTTCCGCCCTGGAAACATATTAAATTCTATTCATAATCCAGTTTGATTAGAGAACCTCGAATTGAAGCATAGCGTGAGTTTTGCAAGACATAAAGGTGTTCATTTAATATATATAGTTTGGTGTTTTATTTGCTTACATCACGTATTGAGAAACTGTTGATTCTGTGTTCCACTAACGACATATTAATATAAAAACTCCGTACACGCCAGATGAATCAAAACGAATCAAGATGTTACTGAATTCTTAAAATTGATTACAAAATTTGATTTCAGACAATAAATTTTGAACTAATTAAAATTTGATCAACTTACAAAAGAATTATCAGGCATCTTCGTTATAACTTGTGAATAACAGGTATCTTTCTTTCTTATTGTCTAGCTGCCCAAATGATTCTCGCTCAATTTGTCGAACAGGTATCTTTCTTTCTTCTTGTCTTGCGGCCGAAATGATTCTCGCTCAATTTGTCCCTAAATTTATAGGGACTAGTTGAAAAACCCGTTTATCTGAATAAGGTTCTTTTCACACATCGTGTTTCCCGGAAATCTAAAGATAGCATAGTTCGTCAACACTTTACCTAGTATTTATTTTAAAAAAATTAATGCTGGAGATTAGCTCGAAAACGTAAAAACAAAGCATGTCTAGTTTAAATTTTACACAAAGAATAAGCAAGCCTGTACAAATAAATGAAATGGGGTTTAACGTCCTACTGTTCTGATCCTATGCTGGGCTAATGAAGACGGGCATACGCCATACAGTGTGCTATGAGGGACATTTTGCCCAGGCAGCGGCACTATCGCCTTCTCTTATATCGAATTCCAACTGCCAAGGGATCTTTTACGTGTATTCTAATGTATAAACGGGACCTCGGTTTTTCGTCTCATCCGATTGACTAGACAGCTGTCCTTGTCAGGGAGATAGAGAAATGGATTAAACGTCCACTCGACACAAATTAGGTCATTTTGGAACTAACATATGGTTCAATTTTATTTCAATAATTTGCTTGCGCGTAGGGGTCTTTAGCAGTGTGGGGAAATTGGAAGACCTGGAGAATACCCACGAGGTTGGACAAGCGACCCTACTCCTTGCCATGTACAATCGGGGACTCGAAACCACGCCACTTGACTCAATGACAGACCTTATGATACAGCGCACACGTGCTAACCATTCGGCCATCCACCCCCCCCCCCCGTAACGTAATAGAATAATACTTATAAGTTTGGGGGAACCATTATATCAAACTCTTGAATAATAAGATAAAAATAAAAATCGGTTCAAGAACAAGTCACGGAATGTACCAGGTATGTTTTGGTAACAGATGGTTGAGGTTTGCATATAAAATATAAAAACAAAGAGAATGTACCTTTTTGCCTCGTTTTATAGATTCAGCTCAGTTTATTGAGACGTTCAGAAATTATCAGAAGCAATAAGGAATGGGGAACCTTTGTTTGCGTATAATGCATGACATGGCTAAAATGATTTTATTCCTAAAGCACTAAAGACGACCTTTAGCATGTGATTGTAATCTATTGCATTTTGTCCTTGGAATACCCACAGCAGTATAGGTAGTTGGTATTCCCAATTTATTTTTAAGATACATGTCATGTTCGTATACATGTTTTGAATATGCTGTCTTTTGTTTTGTTACAAAGTGGCAAGGCAGATGGTATGCATGGTTATCGTGTCATCTTGACATATGAAAGCAGAATCCCTTGAATAAAGTTTCATCATCTTTTTTGTGTCACACAACAAGACACCGCTTGAAGAAAATGTTTCTCGTCATAAAAATTGGTAATTTTGAAATGACAATAAAATGCAGGTTAATCTGTAGACATTTTCAAATGTAATCCACATAGATTTCTAAGACACCTATCCAATTCTGTATAACTCTTTTATGATTTATTTATTATCGTATTTTAGTTTTTCACAATCTTAGACCAAACAACAAAAACATACATAAACATTTCCAGGTGATTAAACTTTCCCTTGCCACCTGTGCAATAGGTAATTCCTATTTTTAACATATTTTATTGTAATGTTGCTATAGTCTAATCTAATCTGAGTAACGTTATTGTATTAATTTGCACAAGTGGTTGTGGAAATTTCCACTTAACCAATTAGTATTCAGAACCTACCATTAAAACCTACCATTTTAATTATGACCATAGTATGTCACGTACGCCTTCTAGGAACCAACCATATGTAACCTCCTGCGTATGAATCATAACTATTAATATCTATTTCGCACTTGTGAAAGATACAATAACATACGTGTTTAAATGGGGATATATCTATTACATTATCAATATGTACGAAGAGGTCGTTGGGATTTCCATACTTAACCTATTGGCATTCCCGTTTTCAGACGTCTTCTGAGAATTCACTATTATAAAGGCTTGCATATTAATTATGACCATTTATGTCACACGTCTTCTAAGAATCCCCTGCATTATAACCAATAATATATTATTCCCCACGTTTTCTAAGAACAGTATTATGATGATCATTAATGTCTATCAGTAAAACGTAAAATGACACAAATGTTTAAGATAAATATGACGATTTTAAAATTACGCATAAGTTTTGGGTTTTTTTATACTAACATGCCCCATGGTGCACCAACCTCATTATAAATAACTGAAATATTTTATGGCTTATGTTAATAGTGTCGGCAAAATCTCACTGAGAAATAAATAATAATGTCCTTAATTTAATCTTTGGTTACTCATAATTACTTATAATTACTATTCGTCTGAAACGTTGCGGCTGGCTTGGTACCTATTTGAGTTTTCAGCTTTGAGATTGTACCTAGCAAAGCGTAGGGTTGTCCGTCTCTCTTTATGAGTTTTCTCAAGAAATCTGTTCCATCTACCGGGATAGGCGCAAGAAATCAGCCCCATCTACCGAGAAAGGTGCAAGAAATCTGCACCATCTACCTAGAAAGGTGCAAGAAACTATTAGAATCAAGAAATGCCTAATTGTTTTGAAACCCACTTCCATTCCTCCGTTGAAATATAATATATTGAGAGGTTATAGATATTGATTTGGTGGGGTTTTTTATGAATCCATCAAATGATCGACAGACTATTCCTATAAATATAACTGAATTGGTGGTTTCGTCCAAACATAATAGGAATTCACGTCAAAGATTGGTTTTCATAATTAGCAACAGTTGTTCACAGATATGAAATGAGACGGAAAGCAAATTACATCAAAATAGTTTTACAAATGGAATTCCCAGCAAATTATTGTTTTGTTATAAAAAGAACATGTTACTAAATTTTAACTTTTTATTATCGTAATAGCCATGTGTTACATATATAATCCAATTGTCCATAGGTGAATGAGTACAATACAAACACAATACAAACTATGGAAAACAATCACAGGTGTGTACACATATAGCCAGACAGGGAAACATACATAATTGTCGTTCTGTCATCAAGTTATTGTTCTGAAAGAAAGGCATGAGGAAGAAATAGTCACTACAAAAAAGCTAAGGAAATTTATATTTTATGGATCGTACAAAAAAAAGGTCTCAACAACGGGTCTGATAAACTATTATTGTTACAGGTCTACTTCATAATATAAATATTGGGGAAGGGGGTGGATGGCCTAGCGGTTAGCGCGTGCGCGTAGTATCATAAGCTGTGTCATTGAGTCAACTGGTGTGCAGGTTTCGATTCCCCGGTTGTATGCGACAAGGAGTAGGGTCGCCTGTACAGCCTCGTGGGTTTTCTACGGGACCTTCGGTTTCCTCCGGCTGCTATAGACCCCTACGCGCAAGCGAATTCTTAAAATAAAAATGTAGACATGACGTAATTTGTGTGGCGTGGACGTTAAACCCTCCCTCACTCCCTCTCGTTCTCATATTCTGGTAGAGCACATAACCGGGTTGACAAACGTTCTTGGGCGTGTCTACACTGCAATAACAGTGCTTCGTTAAAGTTGCAATTGCAAATTTTCAATTTATATTTTTAAAATGTATTAAAATAAAGCCTTAAAATAGATGGTATCTATAAACAGTCCTACCATGTTAAAGAATAATCCTATTAATCCTATAATTCACTATTGCCAGCTGAGAAATTGGCAAAAATATCATTTTCAACTACAAATCCAACCTTTTGAAGATAGCTATTCCATGGGGGGATAAAAAAAACAAACGAGGTAATTGTGTTATTATTGCAGGGGTGAATACTTTTTAAGTTTGAGAATGATACCTATGATCGTATAATAGTGTGTTGACAACCGATTGAGCAAAAGACATAGAAATAATTATGTTTTGACTTTCTCAGAAAATATGAAATTCTCGCTTTAACATTTTTAAATCTTTTAAACGTATTGTGTAATTTGTTTTTAATCTCTATTTACTTTACTACTCTATGATATTTGGGGTTTTTTTTATATAATATTATGATTGCGATTATTTATATTTAATGTGTCTCGTATAGGTCAGACTATGTTTGTCACAATGTATCCCGATTGCCGCTGACGTACCATTAAACCACATTCCATTCATTCATTCCAAATAACTTGTGAAATTTCACTTACCGAGTTACTATCATCTATATTACTCATGGCTGCTATACGACGTGGCACAAATATACTATCCTGCAAGTGAGTACAGATGTGTCCCGCAGTTCCTGTGTGAAACAGCTTTATTCAACGCCAGTTCCCACCGAAGTGATATCACAGACAAGTCCTGCAGTTCTTCTTCGCCTTCTTTATATATACATTCCCTGAAAATTGCTTTCCACTAAACTTCCTTTCATCTGTTTGATTTATGACAAGTAACTCCGTATATAATGATCAGCTGATTTCAGATTATGATAAATATAAAGACACATCTTTAATTAAGACTACGGTATTGACAGGTGTAACACACATCTAATAATTAAGTTAGTTAGTTAGTTAGACATTATTATATGTATTATAATTTGTGAATGTCTGTTAAATACTAATAATAAGGTTCTTGATAACACCTTGACCATTATATATGATCTCAAGTAGAAACATAACTCAGACAAGATTACTGATAGACAAGCTTATCAAGAGACCGCTGTACAAGACAGATGGGCACGTGATAATGGAAACAGACGTGAATAAGTACGATGGCGATAATGACTACAATCTGTTATGATATGTTATGTTCCTACGTGCTGGATTGGTTGTTAGAATTAACAGTAATAATTTTTAATGTTTGTTCCTACATTATTGAAATAAAGAAGTCAAATCAAGTCAGCGTTATCATTAGATCCTTTGATACTAAGTTAAACATCCCAGGACATGTTCCCAAGATAGATACCACTTACTGATATATTTCTAAAACAAAACAAATGACGTAAGACTTGCGCATTCATTGTGATTCATTTTATGTAAAATTGTCGTAAATCCAAGATCTGGCTTATTAAACAGTATTTATTTTGACTTATTTTAAACAAGCGTTTCACAAACTTATTCACATCCTTTACGTCCAGTTTGTTTGGGCTTACAATGTCTATGTTGAAGTTGCACATTGGATTTGGTATACAGGTATGGTAATAC